CAGCTAAGTGTTAGTATAACAGTTTCTACAAGCAATATCATATCTAGAAATATGTGTCATACTACTGTATATCTAACAAAGATTCCACAATGGATATGAATTTCATTGCAACTACTTCCTCAGGTTGACACAAATTCAATTTATGATAGTTTAAGTTAGTATCTAATTTTAACCTTTTATTATTTAGTTTTTGTAATCTATTTTAAGAAATGTATTTGTCTCATGGAGTTAACACTAAGTTTTTTCATATTTTAATGATATATTAAAATTGTTTAAAATTATCATTGCATCAATTTGAGTTTGTTCTTTGAAAAAGTTGCAATTTGATTTGAATGTTCTTTTAACTTTGTTTTCATCAGAAATAGAATGAAATGATTAATGAGTTTTAAGAGAAAAAGTATTCTCTCTCTACGTTCCAGTAAGGCATGGAACATGGTTTATTAATCTTGATTTTGTTATATTGATAACAAATTACACTCCTACATAAAGTATGTGTTATGAAATAAAAACAGAACCATATTGAAATTTACTGGTAAATAAATACACAGCTGAAATTATGTCATTATTTTTTCCTATTTGCCAGATTATTAAAAGAGCAAATTCAAATCCAGTAGACAAATAAATATTTAAGAAAAAAAAAAACATAATATATTGCAAATTCTTTCAGTAAATCAGTTGGTTTTTGTACATACAAAGTGCAAAAACTGATTGATTTATTTAAAGAATTTCCAAAGATTCAAATAGAAAAAAAGCTTGTTGTTTAAGTTAGGCTGTGTACATACTAGGCGTTTTAAAGAACCAAGAGTTCTGCATAGGCATACATACTGAAACGCGCGCTTTTGGCCAAGCGCGCGTTGATAGATTTTTGTTAAAACGCACGTTTTGCGGGCGTCAGCCGAGCGCTTTGAGATATATGTGCTGCCATGTTACTGTACATTCGATCGCGCATTTTGCGGGCGTCAGCCGAGCGCTTTGAGATATATGTGCTGCCATGTTGTTGTACATTTGATTGCACGCTTTCGGGTAGAGTGGACGTAAGTGGGCCGAAATGGAGAACGATCATTTTGATACTGATCTATTTATTGATGAAATCTAAAAGAGACCAACCATCGTCAAATGATTTTATAGATATTTTAAAAGAATTAAAAAACTTGGGTTCATTTTGTCTTAGTTTTGAATACAACGTCACAAACATTCCATGTGTCAGTCTATCTCATAATATTGGGTGCACCCAAAATTCTCTTTGCCTCTGCCATCGTCTTTTATAGCGACGATGGAGGAGACGCACACAAGCAATTACTTTCACATCCATTTCCAAACTGAGCCAGTGTGTATGCTCCACTAAACAGTCGCCGAACGCCGAGCTAACGCGCAGTGTGTACGCTGCTAACGCGCATTACCAAAACACGCGTTTAAAAACGCCTAGTGTGTACATAGCCTTAGTATCTGATTTTAATAACCAATGCTGCAGCAAAATCATCATTTATGATATTTGACATTTATTTCTGTAAACTTTTTTCAGATATGATGTATTATTTGCACTCTTTAATCTTACATTGAAACTCTCACACGAGACTGCCTAGAATTAAAGTCCAATTGTAATTATGATCTTAGATTACTGTTTTGCATATTATTAAAATACAGAATTTAATTTTATTTAAATTAACAAGTTTGTTAATGTTATTCCAGTTTACTTTATAATATTTTTATTTTGTTAACATCCGGTGTAAATTATTCCAAAAATGATTACGTTCAAATCCAACTTATGTAGGTGTAGAATGTGCACGAACATAGCAAAAAAAAAAAAAACACAAAATATGAACAATATGTTTTTCCACGGAAGATTTTATTGTTTCAAACTTCTATACTATATCTATACTTTATTATAATTATCTAACAGGTATTTTTTACAAATAGGGATGGAAAACAAAAACCCAAATATCAGTCATATGAACTTCCATATCTTAAGAACACAATTAAGGCACATTAAACCATTCATTTTTTCTGTTATGCTATATTTTTTTCACATAGCATGATAATGATATGAACCAGAAGAATATTCACAATGACAAAAATGATTTTGAATTTCTTGGCACTTAAGCGCTGGAAAATTAAGTTTTGTCTGGTTCATACATTACCAAGCTAAATATGAGTATTTGCATACATACATATATATACAGTATACAGTACATATATATATATACATATTTATTAGTATATGCTATATAAATATATATATATATATATACATACACACTATATACATAAATATATACATATATATATATATATTTATAAATAACAAGAGAATGGTTGTCCCCAGAGTTATTACAAATTTGTTCAGTACATCAAATATGCATAGATTAAACAATATCAACAGAAATATTATTCAAAGTGTTTTACACTGAATTCATTTAGAAAAACCTGAAGGATAACAGAAAATAAGCAGTAATTAATAAATCATATTTTCATGTAGATAATACTTATGGGTACATAGTGTATAATCATATTTAAATATAAACTTAAGATATTTTTCCTCTTTTTTTTTTATAACAGACTTAGTTAAAACAATTTGGATAGTTTGTGCACATAAAGATAGAAACATTTTTATATATATACATATATATATGTGTATATATATATATACATATAGTTTTTTCTTGTATGCCCTTATTTTAAGGGAGTCATTACTAACATAACTGTTAGCATTAAGAAAAGGGATTCACTTTGAATGGTCTAGATAATTGCATAGAAAATAGATGACCTTTTAAGAATAGAAAAAGACTACAACTACAATTGGTAAGAATGATTAATTATATTTTCAATATTAACATTTCATTATTTTTTTTATTTATTATTATTATAGTAATAAGAGCAATTCAACAGGAGCTGATCCAAGGGAATTGGGATAATATTCAATCTAATGTAACCAAAATTCCTAATTTATTACATTCTTACCAAAAAATGTAAATTAAAATTTTTTATTTTTTTTTTATAAAAAATTATTTCTTTAAATCTTGTTTTATTACATTTTGATATAAGTTTAGAACTCCTTATTAATAAATAGGAAATTTCTGCACTTTCCAACTATATCCTATGATTATGTTTAAAAGATAATGGAAAAATTTTCCCCCTCTACTAATTTATTTTCATTTAAATTTCAAAATTTTGAAATTTGTTTAAAATTTTCTAAGATGGTCCAATTGATTGCTCTCTATTTAATTTTAAGATAAAAAAACAAAAATTTCTTTTTAAACTGCATTCATTTAAATCTGCATTTGCTTATTATCACATATGTTTTTAAATACATTGAAGTTTTTATACGTCAAAATTGTGGAACAAAAAGACCCAAAAACTATGGGCTAATATCAATAAAACTCAGTTAAGATTGAGAGAATAGACATTTAGATGTGTAGAGAAAAGAGAGAGATCTTATTTGCGGGTTGGAAAGGGATAATTTGTTCACTTATTTTCTAATTAGGATAGAACAGTAAATGTAATAGAAGAGAAAATCAATTATCATATTAATTGGAAATCATTAGAGGATAATTGGAAAATTTCTACATTATAAAATGGCACAGCAAAAGGTTATAAATAGAGGATGTGATAGAGGTTGTAGCAACAGTTTACTATAGGAAAGAGAAACACTGCCAAATTGCATATAGATCAGATCCATAGAAATATGGTATTCTTTAGACAAATGGCACATGGCACAACAGAATTGTGGAATCTTTGCATTCATTTGTGGAAAGTTGTTTCCTGAAGGAATGTGCTCATTGACTTTAAATTAAACTAATTGGAAGGGAAAAACGATTTTCATTGGATGGAAAGGACTGATTATGTCAAATTTGTAATTCTTCCTGCAGTTTTTTTGATATTTTTTAACATAAAACTAGTCGACACTTTTATATATAAATAACATTAGCGCCATAAAAACATTTGAAAGCCTATAATATGCAGTGCACAGCACTGAAGACAAGACAAAATTATAACTGTAGATATATATTTGAAGATACCATGGTCCTGCCTGGTATATCTTTTTCAATCTTTTGTAAGATATATTTGAAAACAATGTGCAACTAACTATATGTCCTTAAAATTTAAACAGAGAACAGAGGGGAAAATCATATGAAGGATTAAAAAATCTAGATTATTATTTTATATATATATACATACATATATATATATTATTATTATTATATTCAATCATATTTTTTTAAACATTCTTTCTCTTTTTTTGACAGAAATAACATTGATGATGGTGATGAATATGATGATGAGATGACAATGATAATGATTATGATTACAGTGATGATGACAAAGATGGTGGCTGTGGTGATTATGATGATGATAACATACAATATGTTGGGCCAATTCAGGTTGGAATTCTGTATACTATATCAAAACATTTTAAATATCTAGAGGATTGAAAAGAGTTTTAAATATATTTTAAATTTTTTTATTGTTAATATCAAATTTTAGTTTATGATTTAAAGCATAGATTAGAATAAGATAAAACTGCACGCACAATTTTTGTTTTTTTAAGAAATTCCTGCATTCACTCTATAATTAGTCTAAGCCTTTGGAGAATGGCTTGGATTTAGGATATTAATTATTCTATATGAACCCTAACTGCTCCTCTCTATCTTAATATCAATTGAATAATCAACATAAGAAATTAATGTAAAAACTATAACTGTTTTTGATCATTTATGAAATGTTTGAATCTCTTTTAATTCTTTATCATAAAATTGAGTAATTTCTTAAAAGAATTTGTCGCCTTGTTGTGGATCGATTTACAATCGGTTCCTAAACATTTATGAATTAAATTATAATCTGGAAAAAGTTTCCAATATCAATTACACATTGTCGTCATATCTTCCAAAATTTTCTAAAAATGACTTTAAGAGCCATTTATTGAATTATGCTATAAGATGATTAAAAATATTAAATCACAAAAAATCTAATATCATGTAATATTTTCTTTCTTTTTTATTTTTTTTTTTGGAAAATTGAACAGTTAGGGTTTTTGAATTATGAAAGTTTTGATAAATGAAGATTTAATTAAACTCAGTATTAGTACTGACGGCAGTGTTAGTTGAGTTAGAAAACTCGAGGAGAACAAAACCATTTGACAAAGCAATTCCTTCACTTGCAGTTCGAAGAAATGTGCCATTGTTAGCACATTTCTATCTTGCTGAACATGATATTGAATACTCTAATCTAATCACAACTATCCATCTTTTGTGCTTGCTGTTATATCACAGCACATTTTGTTTGTGAAAGACCATACCTTACATTTAAACATATAAAAATAACTAAATGCTTATGAAACATAATGTAATAAACAAAGGGTAATAGATGTACCGATATTTACAGTTGGAATCACTGGCTGGAACAAGATGGCCAATTGCTGATCATTTATGATTTTGAGTTGGAAATGGAGTATTCTTGTATTTTATTGTCTTCAGCACCAATCGTCGTCATCTGATTCACTTCGGTGATTTATACCACCAACGCGACCTGTCCTTCCAATAATTAAAGACTGTTCCCATTCTCTTCTCTGCCGTTCGCGATGTCCTGGTTTATAACCATTGGGTAATGGAGATGGAAGCTGTCGGCTGCCTCTTCCGATTGCAGCTGCCGTCTCGAAACTCAATGGCTCTTCCATTCGCCCTCTGCTAATACGATGTGGAGTCGATGAAGGTCTGTGGGGTGGATAATAAAAATCCGGAGGATGAGGTTGCTGTCTATGAATTGGTAGACTAGAACTACTACCAGTAATCATATAATGAGGTGCACGATCTTTCCATATAGGTGGTGCAATCTGAAGTCTGGGAAAGTGAGTAGGTGAAGCATTGACTTTTGGGAAGTTGATACTTCTAGCTGACTGAGGGACTGTGGGAGAATGGGATACAAGAGGAAAGTGCATTCCTTCCATCGACTTCACATCTAACCTGAGAGTGGATGGTTTATTGGGTGTAGGAGGTAACCTTCGACCTCTTGGCCTCCTCTGCAATGGCAAACTGTGGGCTGATGATGGACTTGGACTTCTGGAACGGTATTCTAGACAGGTACGACCATAATAGTCCATATGAGTTGGTGTTGGATTTGGACTCGGACTCCTTGATCTTCTGCCAAGGCACGTGGTGCGATAATCAGGACTGGGTGAAATGCCCCTCCATTTCTTCTCTTGTCGACCACGGACAGGAGATCGTCCTCGAATTGGAGAGCCATACAGATTAATATAATCATCATTTCCTCTCAACATAGCTACAGAAAAAGCACAAAAATATTTTTGATTAGATTTTCAATAAAGCATGTCTATATAAATATTTTTATTTTAGTAAATTTAGATTATAGAAAAATTTATGAAGGTAATTATGTGTTGTTAAATATTTTTCACATTATAGAAAATCTGATATACATTTATCATGAGGTTCTATAATAATAATTAGAGATGGATATAGAAAATTTTCAAAAGCATCCAAAGATCTAAAAACATTATTTTTTTTTTTTAAATTGACTTTCAATTATATATTATACTGAATGGATAAAGCATAGATTGTAACTATATTGAAATGTGAAATGGTTGTCATAAAATTGACTCTTGCTCATTTAGACAGTAGCTTTTTATCACACATCGGTATTTCTTTTTTTACTTGCTTGCTTGCTTTTAAGTTAAAAGATTAACTTGGGCAACATTTTCTGCTAGTGTTGCTATATAATTAATTTATTAGAATATTAAAAATTATATTGTAATGCTAAATGAGAGAATTACATATCAAGTGGGAGAAATACAATATTAGCTTTTAAAAGTAAATTAAAAAGAATGAATAACTTTGTATACAGCTTTGGTTAACAGCTCAAATGTTTTTCCTTACATATATATTATAATAGTAAACAGCAAAATAAATATTGATCATATAAAATTGAAAATATTTAATGATATTTTAGGTTAAAAATCTGAGTAGTTGTCCATATAAAGCATCTTTATATGTATATACAGTAGAGCATCGATTATCCGAAACAATTCAGGACTGGGATTGTTTGGATAAGTGATTTTTCGGATAACTGATAATTTACAAAAAAATATATTAAACACAGAATTGTACTGTATATATTTTGTATCATACGTTTTACAAATACATATCTTATATAAAGTAGTACATTAAAGTAGGCCTACAGTTTAGGTTGGCAGAGAGGGAAAGACTGCTGCAATACCACAGCACTAGTGGAAATTTGAATTTGTTGACTGGAACACTTTCAGTTAACTGGTGTTTCGGTTGATTGGTATTCAGATAATTGATGCTCTACTGTATATAGTAATGTATATACAGTATGTATATATACTGTATATACGTTACTATAATATAATTGTATATATGCATAGTGCAGTGGCGTGCCGTCATTGGAAACGGTGGATGCACCGCTTCCCTTGTATTTTCTAAAAAATAAATGCATATTAATTTTAATTATATGAAAATAATCACACAATATTTTATTATAACTGCATTATGTATCNTTACTATAATATAATTGTATATATGCATAGTGCAGTGGCGTGCCGTCATTGGAAACGGTGGATGCGCCGCTTCCCTTGTATTTTCTAAAAAATAAATGCATATTAATTTTAATTATATGAAAATAATCACACAATATTTTATTATAACTGCATTATGTATCTTATTACAAATTTCTATACTACATGTGAAGAAAAAGATAAGATTGCTATTGTATATTCGAATATTAGTGGAGGAGTGCTGTATCGTCAGCATCCAAAAAGCCAGATTCGTGTATGCACTTTACAGAGCACCAACCTCATTCGGTTTAGCTGGTGGAACCTTCTTTTTTTTTTTTTCTTTTTTTTCCCCTACTGTTCATATATAAGCTTATCTTGTAATACTCTGTATAATTGCCCTGTTGTAACTGTACATCATACCCGGTTGTGCCAATGCAGTACCGGGTCTGTACTATGTGTACTAATAAAGAAGAAGGTGGAAGCCTAGGAACTCGGGTGGATGCTACATGTATACCGCATCAATTCTATCCGTGATTGGTCCTGGGCTGTTAGCCACCCGCCCACTAGATATTTGGCCACCCTTGCCCGATTATGCGAATCATGAGTAGATTTATAACTTAACCCAACCATTAAGAATTTACTGGTATGTTTTTATGATAGTTCTGTATAGTTGACAGGAGTTTAAAAAAAATCCATTAAAATATTTGATATTTTTATTCCGCTCTCTGATTTTATATTACTCATGGATTTCAATGTTAAACCGGTGATATTACGATTCCGTATGTCCCATCTCTAAGGGGATGTAGAAAAAAACATGTGCAATTCTTGTACAATGTTAAAAAATTAACTGTTACTTTGGTAGCATCATCTACAACTAAATTTAATGAATGAGAGAGATGCACCAGGTACAGAAAAAGCTCTAGAATTTATTTTCCTTACATTTACGATTTATATATCCCTCTGTCATAAAAATTTGTCTTTCCACTTTTTTCCCGAGACTACAGATATACAAGTACAAAGTAACCGGTTTCGACTTATTTCTACTTAAGAAGTAGTTAGATAATTAAGCAATTCGGGAATTAGGGACATAAACAAAACCCTGACGAAAGAGCCAAAATTTTACTTAAACGAAAGCTTAACCGAACCATTTCTTGCTGAGTACAGTGGAGACTGATTTCTTTGTATTATTAATGTAATAAAGGCAGAAATTTTTCCAGTTTAATGAGAGTGACTAAAAAGTTGTAAATTTTGGAAATTTCTGAGGATACTTGGTCCTAAAATGAATTAGTTAGAAAACAAATGACTATTAAGTTTAACATATTTAGATTTTTACAGCTATGGTGAGAAATGTTTAAAATGTACAACAACCCTGTTGTATCCTTTGAGATATACTAGTGATGCGACAAAAGAGGTATTTGACATTGATGGGTATCGGCACCCTGGGGATTTGGCAATCCACGTGTATGTATGCTCTGCAACTGTCTTTGATTCCATCCATTAGCCACTCATAGGGAGCTATTTGACTAAGTGCATTGTTTTAATATTTAAAAAGTAAAGAATATTTTATGTTATTTTTATGTACGTTTCTTTACAGAGCTATATTTAATTATAATTTTCTTTAAAAGTATATTCGTATAATTGAAGAATATTTCGTACCAGGAATGTAAATCCACCACACATTTTATTTCACTGAGTAAGTTTTTATTATTTTATTTTTAATTGTAGCCCTTATATCTTGGCTAGCGATTCGGAATGCAATTGTGATATTAAAAATACGTTTAGAGAAGTCTACGGTTTTTACTGGCTTATTGAATAAACGATACAAATGGACTCTAGACCAGGGGTCGGCAACCTTTTGATTCGGAAGAGCCAAAATTACAATTTACAAACTTTCAAAATTTTTAAAGAGCCACAAAATTTTTTCTTGCCAACAATAAATAGTACTCGCATAAATAAAGTTTTTTGATAAAAAAAAAAAAACGAATCTATTTATTCATATATAAGTAGTGTTTTTCACAACAAATTAGATAATAGAAACATCCGACGACGGCATCATTCGAGAGCTTCCAACAGACTGACGACAGTGACGACGCATGTCACGGGGAGGGGTGCGGTGAAAAGCGAGTACAAGTGGCTGAGAGATAGAATC